TGTAAGAATTCCAGCATGCTTTCTTCCTGTTCCAGAAAGAATGGATGATAAAGCAGCTAATCTACAAGTTGGGCACACGATGTGATCTGAACAATTCTGGCTTTTGTGTGAATTTGACAATTAAGACTTTTAAACAGATTTTGTGTGAATTTGACCATAAAGACTTTTAAACAGCTTTTGTGTGAATTTGACCATTAAGACTTTTAAACTAGAAGTTATAAACAGTGCAAAACTGGCCAATTGTGGGGGGGGGGTTTCATTTTCAAGCAGTTCACGAGTTGACCGTGCGCAATAAGAATCTCTTCAAATATTCCTGATCATCCAAGTTTTCGGTGTCACACAAATGCTTTTATCTGACTGACATTGCCAATATAGCTTATTGTACAGGAAGGCTATCTAAACTTCTGATAGGATTCAGAGGTGCTTCAGAATTCACAGGAACAAGCATCTCTCTACTATTCATTTTAAAGCAACCTGCCCACATGAACCTTTTAAAAAGACACCACTGTTTTGAGAAGTTGACACATCAAAGTTAATAGCACTTAAATAACTCTTAAAGCAGCTTATTTTTCCCCCAGTTCCTTGAGGAAACTCTGTTTGGGGGGATGGGGGCTACTTTAATTAGAAAAGTCTAAAAATCCAAAGCACTTCCAGTACTTCTCTTTCAGATGAAATAATGACTTAAATTAACCTCCTTGAACAATTAGCAAAGAAGATCACTGTAACTCGGAAACAGGTACAGTACCCATGTATAGAAAAGCATAATTTATAGAACTTTTGAGAGAAAAACAGGCAGTTTGGTCTAGTGATTAAAGACGTCATTAAATGACATCATGATACATCATGAATTTGAGTCCTGCCTTAGGCAAGAAGCCAGCTGAAGGATTTGGGGCCAGTCACCTTCTCAGCTCTAGGAAAGAGGCGCAAACCACTTCTGAAAAACCTTGCCAAGAAAAGTGCACGAACTTGTATGTGTAGTTGCCAGGAGTCAAAGTTATTCAAAAGCACCAAAAATAAATAAAGAAAAAGAAAAAAAAATTGTTTTTGCTAACAATTTGTTTATGGAATGTGAATAATAATGCATTTTATTACTAAATGCTAATGCTCCTATTTTATTTTATCCCCCTACGTAATCAGTCTTGCTTAAACCAGCTGGACATTCAAAGGTCAGTAAGACACTACGATTTTTTTATTGCAGTTTACTTCAAAGCAACTGGCACTGTATTTAACTAAACACTACCACTACCATGCTGCCAAGCTGATTGGCTATTCTAGATTGGATACTAACCAATAAAAATTTAGTTAAGAACATGGTAGTAGCACTTGACCATACAACTGGTTGCTTAGCAACCATTCAAACAAAATGACCACCATAAAGCTACTTACCCTCCAGTTTCAAAGTTCAATGTTACCTCCCCCTGCACTGCACCATGATTGCATTTTGGACACTTGGAAACCACATTTACAGCACCATAGGTTCACGTGACCATAATTTACAACAATTTTGCCATTTACTTCCCATTTCCAGCCCACAATGAACAATGGAATTTCACTAAATAACCATAGGACTATCTGCAGTCGAAGGCATTATCCCAATCCTCAAAACATATATTTTAATAAATTCAAAGAAAATATAAGGTGTTATGGCATGAGAAACAAGACTGAAAAGTTGCTCAGGGCAGCCCTGTAAAATAACACTAGGGAGTTCCTAAAGAAGAATGGATATATAACTTGATCGTAACCTTTCTGTAGTCGATGTGATTCAAGGATTTATGATGCAACCATCTGACCTGCAAGATTTAGAAACATATCAAAGTGATATGTATTAGAAGTTATGGATTTATTCTAAAGTGCTAGAAACAGCCACTATCTTCTCTGCTTTTAAGAGATCTTGAATACTACTAGTACCAGGTCCTGAAAGCGGATTTCCTAAATTTAGTGGCCACAAAAAGTAACAGCAGCACCAACCACATCAGATCTTGTTTTCTAAACCTAAATGCAAGATGTATGACAGTAGATTAGGTAGATCATCTTCATACTAATAATGAAATTCATCCTTCTGTAAGCATACACCCTTCTACTTAACACAATGTTTGACAATTGCATTTTTCCAAGAACCATCTTCACTGTACCTAATATTGGCTAATCAAATGGAAACCACTAATGCTGCTTAAGAGAATTGACCATTTGTACATTCAGTAAACATGAACAAATAAAATTGATGGTAATGTCAGGAGACAAGAACATTGCACCCTATAGACTTGTGATGGTGAACCTATGCCACAGATGCCAGAAGTGGCATGCAGAGCCCTCTCTGTAGGCATACAAGCCATCACTCCAGCTCAGCTCCACCGCACATGCGTGAATGCCTCCCACCAGCCAGCTGGTCTTCAAGTCTCTGCTGCGAATGCGTGGGGGGGGGGGCTCATGAAGGAGGGCAGGGTGCATGCGTGGGAGGTGGGGCGCATGTGCAGGGGATGCAGGGCACTGCGCGGGGGATACACACATGCATGGGAGATGCACATGCATGGCTGGAGGGGCGCGCATTGCATTTTGGAGACACATGCGTGCGCATGCGCTTTGGGCACTCAGTGCCGAAAAAAGTTAGCCATCACTGCTATCGACAGTCAAAATGACAGCAACTGCAAGCCTAACAAAGCTTTGGGTGCAAAGCACAATTTTAGAAATACAGGTAGTCCTTGACTTACAATAGTTTGCTTAGTGACCCGTTAAAGTTACAACAGCACTGAAAAAAGTGACAGGACCATTTTTCACATTTATGACCATTGCAGCATCCCCGTTGGGGTCATGTGTTTACATTTGGATGCTTGACAACTGACTCACATTTATGATGGCTGCCGTGTCCCTGGATCTTGTGATTCCCTTTTGCAACCTTCTGACAAGCAAAGTCAATGAGAAAACCGGATTTACTTAACAATCATGTTACTAATTTAACAACTGCAGCGATTCACTTAACAACTGTGGCAAGAAAAGCTGTAACATGGGGTTGTAAAAGTCACTTAGCAAATGTCTCACTTAGCAACATAAATCTTGGGCTCAACTGTGGTCGTAAGTCGGGGACTACATGTACACATCACCATCACAGTATATAATTCTAGATAGCTTTCCAAAAGAAGAAAGTGTCAGAATAATAGCTTCTTACAAACTAAATTAAATCTGGTTGCCCAAGCTGCAAATCAAGGATTGCGTGAAGCCCTAAGGCAGTTCTAAAATGCACAGTCATAATTATTTGTAACACAAGGGAAATGATTCATCGCATGGAGACTAATCATGCTAACTATATTAAATCAATTTGTTTCTGATTTAATCCTATTCAGTATTTTCCCTTGTCCACCTACTTTCTGAAGCACAACTTTTAAGATGGAACACAAGAGCCAAGTAAGACTTCATATTCCAAAGGGCTCTTTAAACATGTATTTCAAGGGTATCAAACTCAAGGCCCGCAGGGTGCTTAAATCTGATCCACAGGGCTGCCATGGAAACAGTGAAGGACCGGCCCTCCAAATTCTAAAGAAGAACACACACAAAACCAACAATTTTGACAGCCTGAATTATAATCCTACTCCTAACTACTCAGTAGTCAATCTTGCTGAAACAGTAAGGTCTACTGTAGTCGTCTCTAAAGGACAACTGGGACCAGCAACTTGGTTATTAAGTGAAGTGAGCAATAAGTGGACTCATGACAGTGTTTACAACCCTACTTCAACTTTTCCTTACTTGACTTTATAGACCTGCAAAGGTTATAAACAGAAAGAAGGGTCATAAAGTTACTTTTTTAGAATCAACAGTTGTTAAATGACTTTGTGGCGAAACAAGGACTACCTGTAGTTCTAACACCTAGTTGTTAGAAATACTAAATGCCTAATGCTAATTTGGCTGAAGTAACTACTGGATTACTCAGATTATTTCTTCCATATTTCAAAGTTACTTTTAGAAATATGCATACACTGGATTATTTGGATTACATCTTCCATATTTCCAAATTACTTTCAGAAATATGCATACATTTTTTAAAAAAAGTTCTTAAAGTTACTTCATTTAGACCGCAATCTTACATATGCATATATAGTACTGTACTAAGCCCTATTAAGTTCAGCAGAGCTCACTTTCAGAGAAATGGGTGAAGGATTGTAGCTAATTGTAACCGTCCAATAACTTACAGCTTTCTGGAGATACTTACAAAGTTATTTAAAAGAGTGAAACCGGACAAGTACACAGTGTTAGCAAGAAACACAGAACGCGATGCTTTATTATTTATATTACTAGATATGCATGAATCAAATGCATCTGTATGAAGGCACATGCATATATAACACACAATACAACCGATTCTACCCTACTGTAATGCCGGCACTTCCGATCAAAGCATTTAAAAATGGACAGCCCAAGACTTATTTCCATTCCCCTTTACAAGTCCTTAGACGAGAGTACCATTTTTTAAAAATCTTTATCTTGCCTGACTAATATATTTGCCAGAGATCCTAATTTGCCCAATACTCAAAGAGCATACCTTAAACAGCAGGCTCAAAAACTCTGCACACATTGACCTCACCCCATTCCTAAGAGGTCCTTAAAGGGGACGTGCACAAGCACACCAGCATGCCTACCATCCCTTTCTTACTGTCCCCATTTCTCTGTATTTACTCCCTCGGTTCTTCCTTTATGTACTTATACTTGTTATCTTGTATATGTTTAGCAAATAAACGAACAAACATACATTCCCCCTTTATTTCTCTCCGCACATCCAAAAAATAACAGGCCAATCCGTTTACCCCTTCCAAGTGCTACAGATCCACACGCACTTTTGTAGAAGTTCACGCAGATTCCACCTACCGCTGGAGGAGTGGATGGAATCTGACCGATTCGCCTGCATGCAAAGAGGCACGTACTGGAATACATTTTTTAAAAAATAAAAAAATAAAAAGCCGAGAGGAGGCCAGTCCTCTCTCTCTCTCTCTCTCATCCTCTTACTTACTTACCACTGTTCGCCGCGATGTTCTCCCGCAAAAACTGCCCGCTGGAAAGATGCTTGAGGCCAAAGCTCTTGGCGATCCTCTCGCACACGGTCCCTTTGCCGGATCCCGGGGGACCCAAGACGACGGCTCGCAGGAGCTTGGAAGCCATTGCAATCTACCTTAAGGGGGGGGGGGGAGAGAGAGAGAGTTTAAAGCGTCAAGAGCCGGGATTCCGGTTCCAAAGTTGGGAAAGAAAGGCGGAACCCCGCACCCGCGCCGACGGCGAGAGGAAAGCAAGGACTCTTCCCTCAAGACTCACTTTCCCTAACTCCCCCTCCCTTTATTCCAAGCCAGAGAGCCGGTTAAGACTACCCGGGCGGGGTTTGAAGTCCCCTGGCAAGCCAGGCGTAGAAAGAAACCAGCGATCTGAGCCCCGCGGTGGGTTGTTGTATTATTATTATTATTTCGACGGCGTTTGATGAAGCTCAACTTTTCTAACTCGCCAAGAGGAATGCTTGCCCACTCAGGCTTGAGTGGGTGGTTTGTCGCTTCCAGACCCTTTTCCTCCAGCCCAGCAAGACGCGCGTCTGGAAAAAAAGGCGAAGAGCAAGGTGGAAAATGTTGCAAAATTTAGAAAGAAGGGACCGCCGACCACTTTCTCTTTGAGTTGCACGTGAGCGAGGTTTGTTTCTCCTTCCCTCCTCTCCTTCCCCCCTCCCCGCCCAAAAAAACCCGCCTCTTAGCGGTTCCCTGGAAGTCGCAAGAAAAAACTTTCTTCGGGCTGATGAAAAGAGAGGAAAACGCCGAAGTTTAGCAAGCGTCGGGCTTCTGAAGTACCTTCTGAAACCCAGCCGGTCAGATTTACGGCTCCCGTGTGCAAAACTTTTGAAACGACCGATTGCCATCTCCTGTTGTACTCGGGTCAGCCCTTCGCCAATGCACGCGCCCCGATTGCAACAGCTCTTCTGTTAAGCAGAAGGAACAACCAAACTCACCCCTGCTTCTCGGAGCAACAAGAAAGCAAATGCACAAATCCTAAGAAGAAGAGGTGGTGGCGGGGGGGAATAAGTCCGCAAAATGGCGTTTTTAAAATAGTCGACCGATTGTTTCACATATTCGCGATCCCCGTTCGATCAAAAAGGAAAAAAAGGGGAAAAAAGGAAGACTTCCCAGTTCCGACTGCGCCTTTAAGAGAAGCGAGAGAGAGAGAGAGAGAGAGAGAGGAAGAGAGAGTCTTCGCAAAGGCAAACTGTTCTCAATTACTCTGCCCAGTTGCGCGCAAGCAGCAGCAGCAGCAGGAGCTGCGAGCACATCGTTAAGGAGGGAGGAAATCCCACCAGTTGGAGTCAACAGCAAACGAACTCCGCCCCCTCTTTTAAAGCAAGGTGTCTTGGGTTTTGTAGTCCTGAACGGCACTTCGTCGGGCTCTTTGCAATAAACCTTGCCCCTTCGTTCGACTACCGGTTCCAGAAAGCCTACTGCCAAAGCTGAATCGCGATCCAACCCTTTTCCATCCACCTTGCCATCGGACTGGATGGAGAGACTGGAATGTAGGTGTAGTTGGGCCCTGCGGGGAGGGGAGGAGACGGTGTCAGGAGAGGTGCTGCTGTTTTATAATGTTGCAAACGTTGTTGGAGATGCGTGTGCGTATGTAGGAAGGGGAGGGAGCTTAGCCAGGCAGAATGGAATAAGCATTATTTTTTATTTTTTATTTTTTAAATCTTAACCCTGAAATGTTCTTCCTCAAATAGCTATTTTTTTCCTTCATTTTTTTCCCCCTTTTTTGGGGTAAAGTCTCTGAAATACATTACTGTGCTGGCAAAGAAATGGAAGGAAATGATGTTTAATGAGAATGAATAGGGAGTCCAGGATGATTTGATGGAAGTGTGTTTCTTTAGAAGCCTGTTTAAACCTGTTCACTTTTTCTATGAGGTGATTTCCCAAGTTTGCAAAGAGACAAAAAATGTAGGTGCTTGCTAGAGAATGAGAAGAAGCTTTTTAACACTTTTAGAGGCCAATCCTTTATCTTTGTCTCTGGAAATATAACCCAAATTGATTAATCGTGTATACCGCCTTTATTATTTTATAAATAACTCAAGGCAGCAAACGTGCATAATATCTCTTCCTCCTATTTTTCTCACAACCACCACCCTAGAAGGTGGGTTGGGCAGAGACAGAGTAAGTGACTCAAAGTCACCTACTTTCATGCCTAAAATGGGATTAGAACTCAGTCTCCTGGGTTCTAGGCCAGCACTTTCACAATCACTCTAAATCTGTGCAAAAGAGTTGATGTGTAACATTTGGTGGGGCCCAAAGTCTTTCTGGAAAAGATAGGAAGCCATGTCTAAAAAAAACAGTAGTGGCTAAATTGGCCCCACAATGTAAGAACAAATAAATTATTCTATGTAATAATTTATGTGCACAACATTAAAATCAGGGTTGTTGTTTTTTTTTTTTTACAAATGTTAGACTGTAGGGACTCAAGTTTTTTGGTTTCTGCAACTTTTATAGAAATAGAACTTATTCATTTAGTATTCTCAAACATCATGTGAAATTCTAGCTCAGGGATCCCCAAACTTGGCAACTTTAAGACATGTGGACTTCAACTCCCAGAATTCTGGCTATGCTGGCTGGAGAATTCTGGGAGTTGAAGTCCACATGTCTTAAAGTTGCCAAGTTTGGAGACCTCTGTTCTAGCTCTTTTGAAAAATCTATAATGTGGGGAAAGGTGGATGGAAAGAGAAGTGAATGGCCAGCAGCAAGGTGGATAGGCTCAACTGCAGCAGTAATGGCTGTGCTGTTGGAAGACCTGAAGAGCCAACTGGGGAAAGATCTTCCTAGAGAAAATCTATCTATGAGGTCTTTAGGAGGCATGTGGTACATAATCAATTCACAAGTTTGGGAACTTCTTCCTGCTTTCCAAGGACATGCCCAGATTCTATTTCAACCTCCTGTTCAGACCTTCCTTCTCAATTATTGGTGAAAAGTTGTTAGTATCTACCAGAAATAATGTCTCATTTTAAAGTTATCAGATCCATGCCTTCATTTGGTGATCGAGTAGATTTACCACTATACCTAAGATTATCAGAACAAAAGGACCTAAAAGAAATTGGTAGTGGCTTTTTTTTTTTTTAAAGGCCATAGTGGCTACTTGGAATAGAAATCACTATTGTATGAGTAGGAACTGGTTTAACTTTTCCCACTTTCTTTCTTTACTTGCCCTTGGTAAAGATGTGCATTGAAAGAAGAAGAAGAAGAAAAAGATACAGTTATAAGAGTGAACCCCTTTTGTTGAACTCCTGTTGTTTTATCTCCATGTCCCTCCACTTGGAAGCTGAAGGAGAAGGGTAACTTCAAATTCATACTCATTGTGTCAGAGGTCACAGTAATCTTGAGTTAGGTTAGTTGTTCAATTATTAACTTTGAATACTCCTGAATTTAAGATGAACTTCTTATGTGCTGAGAATTTTATATCTCTCGTGGCTGAACAGACCTAATGTATTAACAGAAGAAAAAACAGTTTAAGATGCTTATCCTTAAAAACAACCATCTAAAATAAGACTTCATGTAAAAATGTAAGATTTTGTTCTATTTTTTTAATTACTCTGAACAAAGCAAAGGATTGCAGCCTTTTAAAAAGCATTTATATTTTTGTTATACAGGTAGTCCAACATTTCAGTGAGTTTTTTACAACCTTCCTTGCTATAGTTGTTAAGTGGTAGTTATAGTGCCTTGATAATACCCACAAACTAGGCATGTCCTGAAGCTAAATTGTAAAGCTTCAGTTCTTTTTTAATCCCACTGTTATTGTTTTTATGAATAACTCAAGGAGGCAAACATACATAGTACTCCTTTCTCCCATTTTCCCCACAACAACCCTCAATGTGAATTTGAGTTGGGCTGAGAGAGAGGGGGGGAGTGAGAGAGAGGTGGGAGGGAGGGGAAGAGAGAGAGAGGACCGGGAGAGAGGAGGGGGCGGGAGAGAGGGAGCGAGGGAGACTGGCCTAAAGTCACCCAACCAGCTTTCATGCCTAAGGCAGGACTCCACGGTTTCTTGGTTTCTAAGCCAGCGCCTTAAGCAGAAAACCAAACTGACTTTCTTATTCCAGAAATCAGTCACTTCATGTCTAGTCTGGTGACTTAACCACTAGATCTCAGTGGCTCTCTAGTTTTTACTGTTACTGTTTTCCTGTTACAGTTCTTACTGGAAAGGTAGCACTTATAAGTTTATTGCTTTATGAACTTGTCTCATAAATTGATTCTAGATAAACAGTTGGCAAGCTGACAAATGTCGATAAGGTTGCCCTCTAAACTCCCATTCATAAAATAAAAGACCAGCTCAAAGTTTCATTAGGCCAAGCACAGCAGCTCTCTATGTGTTTGTTATTCTGATATGTTCTGATTGGAACAGAGTTGGAAGGAACCTTGAAGGTCTTCTAGTCCAACCTGCTGCCGGGAAATCCTATATACCATGTCAGACAAATGGCTGTCCAATCTCCTTTTAAAACTTTCCAGTGATGGTGCATCCATAGCTTTTGAAGTGCCCACATAATTTCCACTGATCGATTGTTCTTACTGTTAGGAAATTCCTTAGTTTTTGGTTGGATGTCTCTCTGGTAAGTTTCCATTCATTACTAATGATCCTTTACATTTCATAGTCTTCAGTGGGTTGGTTTCCCCACCCCCCACCCCATTTCTTAAGATTTACAGTCTGTCTGCTACAGTACTTTTATATTGTGCTAATAGAAATTAGTAACCAATAAATCACTTTGCTGTAACAGAATGCTTTCCAAAGACAGTGAACTATCAAAAGGAGTGACAAATTCCTAACTGTATGTGAAATACTTCATATGCTGGTGGTAGCCAAGTGTAATAAGCTAATAATCACCCAAATAACAATGTATCTATTATTGAATTTGCCACATTGTATTATAAGACTTGGTTCAAATCAACAACCATATACATATATGTGTGTGTCCCAAGAGTATATGTTCACAGCTTGGTAACTCTTGCTTTCTCAGGTTCAGTTGATATTGATAAATTCAGGGACTGTGTGTGTGTATGTGTGTGTGTGTGTGAGAGAGAGAGAGAATGAGAGAGAGGGGGAGGGAGGGAGAGAAACAGCATAGTTGCCCACCATCCCTGAAAATTTCCTTTTCCCTAATTCCAGAACTTTTTGAATTATTTCTTTAGGAACTTTTTCATGCACCTTAAAAACCACACAAAGGCAAGTAGATTGATTAATAGGAATTAAAGGCTGATCAATGTGAAAAAGCAGGATGGAATAATTATATTAAAATATTTAATATTTTAATCCATCAAGTGTCTCATCCAATTGTTGTTGCTAAGGGTGTGTGAGGTGTTCTTTTTTTGTATTGAGGTTTTATCCTTGTAAGCCTCCTGGAGTCATGCAGAGTGAATTGGGCAACCGTACAGCTTTTCTTAAATAAATAGGTATAGGAAAGGGCTTTACAACCCCATTTGCTAAAGGTCTGTTATTCAGCTTTAAAAAAAACAGTTTAATACCTGAGGCCTAATGTGGAAACACTTCCCATTTCTAATCTGGATATATAACCAAAAAAAAGAAAAAAATTGGGATTGCCTGGTTTTATAAGCACCATAAATATGCGTAGTATTCCCATTCACACCAGAATATGTGTTTTTGCCCTTAGAAGTTTAAAGCTGAATTACGGAGTCTCCAAAGAAGAATCATCGGTGAGCACGTCAGAATGAATTTTTTCGTGCGTATGAAAGTTTTTCACGTGTTAAACGGGTGCCGGGCTGACCAATGTGGCTCTGGGAGATTTAGCACGTCTGTGATTTTCGTGCGAGCGAACCACTCGCGAAGAGCTTTCTTATCTTCCGCCCTGTTGCTATGCTTTTCAGTAGCCAACCATTCACTCTTTGGACTGGAGTATCCCCACTGATAAACGCAGCGCAAACGCCAACCAGTTCAATATCCCAAAGATGCTTAAAAAAAACAAAAACAAAACCATTTTCACTTTCAGGAGTGAATTAGCAATTCAGGAAAGTCTCGCCTTCGATCGTCCGAATCCGTTACAAGTTTGCAGAAATCGTTCCGGATCGGAATGAAGAAGATGAAAAAAACCACACACACACACACACACACAAAACGTCGGATCAAGTCGAACCTGTTCTGTTTCGAAGCCGTCAGAAAACCGCCAAAAGCATCCAAGACAGTCCCTGGGGCAGAGGGTGCAGGCGACCCTCTCCACGCGCGTCGCCTCCGCGTTTCCCCGATACTCTCCGGCTCGGCGAAAAGGAAAGCGAGATTTTTTAAAGACGCG